CAAAAGTTGCACTTCACGATGGAACCTAGAGAGAGAGAGAGAGAGAGAGAGAGAGAGAGAGAGAGAGAGAGAGAGAGAGAGAGAGAGAGAGAGAGAGAAGGTCGCGATCCGCCATGGATGCTTCATTCGGCCCGGATGATGCCGCCTCCAAACCCACCGCCGACGAAGAGATGAGACGAATAGGGTCGCGACCAAAAATCTTGATTCAAAAGAAATCTGGAAAAACCCATCAAATTAAACATAAAGCATAATTTTTTTTGGGGTGGGAAGGCAGGTGGTGCGGAGGTGGTGGTGAGGTGGTGGTGATGCGGATGGAAGAATTTTGGGTTGGGGATGAGATGATGGCCGTGGGTTTTCTTCTTTTTCATTATGTATTTTTTTTCTTTTTGATTTGTTCTAATTATATTCATTTTGCAGTTTTATTTATTTATAATTGAAACATAAATTATTATAATATGAGGGTTAATTTAGTCATTTCCTATAGGTCAACTGCTAATTTTGTAATAAGGGGCAGTGTGCTTTGTTAAAAATAATATAGGGGGGTCTATGCTAATATTTTTAATATGAGGAGTTTTTCAGCCATTCCATATACACAGGGGTATATGCAATAGCTCCAATTTATTCCGGTGCGATCACCTAAATGAAAAAAAAGTTGACGATTTATTATCTATCATATACTCACATATTGATTATACGATGTAGTCCCACCCCAATTTATGATAGTTTCACAAAGTGTTTGAAAATTATTGGACGAGTTCGTTAAACATACCAATAAAACAAAATTTGAATTGGCTTTAACAATTAACTTGTTACACGTGGATTTTTCCATGTGGATTGAGCCTAACGTGCGGTGCGACTAGCAACAATAATATTTATGAGTTTTGGTCCCAAATTGTTACAATATTAATATTATAAACTTTCTAAGTACTTGCCTCTTAAACCGTTGAATTGAGATAATGGTTGACTACAAGTTCATTAGGGTTAATGGTTGACTTTACAATTTTGATTTTACATCAACTTCATTATTTATTCCGAAACAATCAGAAACAGTTGACTATGGATCTACTAACATAACTTCAATGCTTAATCAATCTTAGCATTCAATATAAATTAATAATATACAGTAAAATTTTGATAAATTAATAACCTTATTTAAATAGTATATTTTTCTGGCCCCAACTCGAGGACATCGTGTTAAAAAAAATGTTAAATTAATATTTTGCTAAATTAATAAAATTTTGGCTTGTGCCATTATATTAATTTATGGAAGTTTTAATGTTTTCATTACATTTGTAATAAATACATATGTTGAGATATAAAATTATAATTACACCTAAACAAAAGAGCATTTTTTTTGGGTAAATTACACCCACACCCCTGAGGTATGCTTAAATAACTGTAAGGTCCTTGTGGTATTGATAATTACACTCACCCCC